AGCTAAACAAGGGAAACAGGGGAATCAAAAGGAGAAAGTGACAGAATCTAAGAAGGTGATTGGCGAGGGGAAGGTAACGGCTATAACAAAGGAGTGGCGTCCTATTGGGTCGAACACGAAGGAGGCTTCAACGAGCAAAGAGCCCAAGAAATTGAGCGTAGGTGCTGATCTGGCTTCTTCCCAAAGGCCCAATATGCAGCTAAAACAAACGATTACCGGCCCAAACAAGACCAAGATACAGATTTTGGAAGTCCCAGAGCTAAGCCTCAAACAGAAAGAAAATGTTGATCCCAATTCACATGGTGACTCCTCTATTCGAAACCACTACCACAGGAAAAAGACAGTGCAAGCTATCCAATCCAGGGGAGTTAGCCTCAAAGCTACTAAGCAACCTCTCCAAATTCTTAGCCCCAAAAAGAAGGAACGACAGTCAAAGCAAATTCCAACACCGCTCCCAATTTCCATGGAGACTATCGAGGAGTTCTGCGTCACAGCCCACAAGAGGAAGGGGAATGCTCTGATCCAACCCGATAAGAAGACGGAAGACATCTCAATGCTGGAATCCCCACACAGCGAGGCTACTGAGCAGCCGATTCAGAAAGGAGATTTGGAAATCCCAGAATCTACCTCCACTGAAACCAACTGCTCCACCTAACTCCCTGGCCTTTATCCCCTCTTTCTTTGTGCTTATTTCTCGTTTTTATTATGTATCAAACTAACTTAAAAATTTTATCCTGGAACGTTTGTGGTGCAGGTGGAAGAAAGTTCATGAGAGCTTTTCGGCTGCTTAGGGATATCCATAACCCAGATTTTTTGATAATTCTTGAACCTCAGATTAGCGGAGATCGAGCTAACACAGTTTGTGGCAAATTGGGGTTTGACGAGGTTATCCGGGTTGATGCTACGGGTAGATCAGGAGGAATATGGATAGCTTGGAAATCTGACAGTTTCATAGTCACTCCCATTGATGCTAGCCAACAGCATGTTACAGTCCAAGTCTCGAAAGCAAACCATCAAGACTGGCTTTTGACAGGAATCTACGGCAGTCCTAAGTATAAGTATCATTCCTTATTGTGGCAGCAGCTCATTCAATCCAGCAAGGTTCGAAATCTTCCTTGGATAGTTACAGGGGATTTTAACGCCATTTACTCTCCAGATGAAAAACAAGGTGCCTGCTCGACACAAGACCTCAGAAGGTGCCAGAGATTTGCGAACTGGATGAACGAAGCACTCCTGTTTGATCTCGGGTTTTCAGGATCGCGTTTTACATGGTTCCGAGGGGATTCGATGGCAACTCGCAAGGCTAGTCGAATTGACAGGACCTTGTGCAACGATGAATGGAACCTAGTCTTCCCCAACACAGTAGTTCAGCATTTGCCAAAATTTCACTCGGATCACCTCCCTATCCTTACAAGCTATGCTGGACCTCAAACAAATGCGGATAATTCAAAAGCCTTCTGGTTCGAGGCAGCCTGGTTGCTTCACCCTCAGTTTAAAGACTTTATGGCCGGAAACTGGGACAAAGAAGCTGCGCTGACCAGCTCCCTCAGAGATATGGCGGACAAGTTACAACAATGGAAGAAGGATACTTTTGGGTCCACTCACCGCAAAAAGAAGCGGTTGACTGCTAGACTACAAGGGATCACAGAAAGACTTGCTCACTCCTTCAGTCCGGGTCTACTGAAGCTACAAATCAAACTGGAGAAGGAGCTAGACTTGATCTTAGCACAAGAGGAAGTATTTTGGTTCCAAAGGGCAAACGAAAAGTGGGTGAAACTCGGAGAGCAGAATACTTCTTTTTTCCACCAACAAGCCACTAGAAGACGGAGAAGAAACAAGATCTTAGCTCTTCGTGATAACAATGGAGCTTGGATCGACAATCAGGGAAATCTTCAGACTATGGTGGTTGACTTCTACAGGCTGCTGTACACTCAGGCAGAAGGCGAATACAAAGATTTAATGCCAAAAAATCAATTCCCTCGCCTTCAACAGGAGGAATTAATAAATCTCCTACGTCCGTTTCACATCTCAGACTTTCACAAGGCTGTTTTCGAGATGAAGCCGATGTCTGCTCCAGGGCCGGATGGATTTCAGGCAGTTTTCTACCAAAAATTCTGGCCCCTAGTTGGAAGAAATCTCACTACAATGGCTACCCATTTTTTCGAAACTGGGAACATTCCTGAGGAGCTGATGGATTCTACTGTTGTGCTTATCCCTAAGGTGGATCACCCAGAGACTCCGGCTCAATTCAGGCCTATCAGCCTTAATAACGTTGCATTAAAGGCTATCACAAAGGCAATGGCTAATAGACTTAAGCCTTTAATGCCGAAATTAGTGGCACCTACACAGAGCGGATTTATCAGGGGAAGACAGACTAATGATAATATTCTCCTACTGCAAGAAACACTCCATTCGCTTAGAAACAAGAAGGGGAAAAAAGGAGCTATTATCATCAAGATAGATCTGGAAAAGGCGTATGACCGCCTTAATTGGAGCTTTCTGCGAGACACTCTAAGAGAAATTGGGCTCCCCAGCACCTGGATTAGCAGGATTATGACTTGCGTAGAGAAGAACCAAATGAGAATCAATTGGAATGGGGAACTCACATCCACTATCAGACCTACTCGGGGAGTTCGTCAGGGAGATCCCTTATCCTCTTTCTTATTTGTTTTATGTATGGAAAGACTTGCTCATCGTATTGAACAGGCGGTTGAGGATAAGCTTTGGAAACCAATTCCTCTCTCTAAAGAAGGGCCAAAGCTGTCCCACCTCTTTTTCGCTGATGACTTGATTTTGTTTGCAGAGGCAGAAGGTGGACAAGTTGATGTCATCCGAGCTTGCTTAGAGGACTTCTGTTCAAGCTCAGGGCAAAGAGTCAACTTCCACAAGTCAGCTATGTTTGTCTCTCCTAATGTACATAGAGACAAGGCCCAGAGACTGAGCACGAGAGCTGGGATCAACCTCACGAATGATCTAGGGCGCTACTTAGGGATATCAGCTATCAACGGCAGGATTACTAAAGAAAGATACCAGCAACTTACCTCACGTATTCAAAGCAAGCTGGCATCATGGAAAGCCAACCATCTCTCAGTAGCAGCCCGGATTACTCTGGTGAAATCTATATCTTCCTCCATGGCAATTTACCCTATGTTTACAGAAAAACTCCCTGCCTCTGTTTGTAAAGATCTTGACAGGATAAACCGACAGTTCGTTTGGGGAGAAGAGGAAGGTAAAACAAAATTCCATCCGGTGGCTTGGGATCATCTCACTTTACCGAGGGAGCAGGGAGGGGTTGGAATCAGACCGACTAAGCTAGCGAACCAAGCGATGTTAGCTAAAGGAGCTTGGAAGATTGCTACCGGAGATACTACTCTGTGGGCTAAAGTCATGCGAAACAAATACGGAGGAAATAGACAAGGGCTCCAACTTCTCAGCAAAAGAAAGGGAGGTTCCTTCGCCTGGAACAGTTTCGCTCAAACTGTTAACCTTTTGCGCAAAAACGCAGCCCTAAATGTTAAGAATGGAAAGCTAACCAGATTTTGGACGGATGTTTGGGTGTTGCAGGTACCGTTAATTGAGGCGTCTATTTTGGAGGTCCCAATGGAGGAAAGAAACAGATGGGTTGCAGACTACTGGGAGAAAGATAATGGATGGAAACTTCAAGAATTTGAAGTGTACCTGCCTATTGAAGTCACGGACAAGATCCGCGCCATCATGCTGGATTCAATAGCAAACAGCGACGACACTCTCTACTGGAAGACCACCACCAACGGGCTGTTTAGTGCAAACTCAGCCTTCAAAGCAAGTTGTCCAGAACCTAGTCACCACAATTCAACCATCTGGCGGCAGATATGGAAACTTCATTGTCCGGAGAGGGTCAGGTTTTTTATTTGGCTAGCGACTAAGGAAAAGCTTTCTACCAACAGCCAGCGCAAGTTCCGACATCTGACTACTGATGATAAATGCCCTATCTGCACCAGTGCAATCGAAACAAATATACACTGCCTCCGGGACTGCCCAGCAGCTAGGAAAATCTGGGAAAAGATGGTGCCAACACAAAAGAAGCATTCCTTCTTTACAAAAGGCCACACCGACTGGTTTCACATGAACTTAAAAGATGCAGATAAGGAGGAAGGACATGAGCATTGGCCTAGCTTGTTCTCTCTTGTGTGTTGGTATGTTTGGAAATACAGAAATGACTTCATCTTTCAAGGGAATAGACTAGCTGAATCATCCTTCATCAACTATGTTAGGACTAAAGCTACAAGCTGGCTCCAAACTTGAGAGAAAGATGAGATGCAGCTGCAAAATTGCAACAAACCAGAACGGGCTGATCAGCTGGTGGGATGGGTGGCGCCTCCAAATGGATGGATGAAGGTGAACACGGATGGCGCGGTGCAACGCAGTACAGGACTAGCCACTGCAGGGGGGATTATTAGAGACAGTGCTGGTGATTGGAAAGGAGGATTCTGCTATAAGATCGGCACCGGTTCTGCAATTCTCGCGGAACTTTGGGGACTTCATCAAGGGTTGATCATGGCTCGGAATCAAGGTATCCAATTCCTCATTCTTGAGACAGATTCAAAGTTAGCTATCGACTTGATTAGGAACAGAGAAGATCCAGTTCATCCTCATTCGACGATCTTGACAGCTATTCGCGGACTTCTGACTCAGAACTGGGTGGTGCAGCTAGTTCATACGTACAGAGAGGGGAATAGAGCCGCGGACTGGCTCTCGAAGCACAGTCTCGTCTATCCCTTCGGTACGCATGAGCTAGCGAACCTACCAAGTGAATTGGGGAGGATTCTTATTGAAGATAGCTTGGGAGTAAGCTTTCCCAGGAGGGTCATTCGAACGCAAGACTGATATAGGGACTGCAATTTTAGGGCTCCTATTTTCGCTTGTCCCTGTTTCTGTAGTTTGTTTGGTCCCTTTTGTGTAATTATCGGCATTTTGCCTCCATTTATTCAAAAAAAAATTAGACGGCGCTCAATCATGGTTCTATAGGCTTCTGTCTTGTATTTTGTGGAGGAGATGGAACTACCTTTTTTATATTGTTAATCTTTACAAGAACAGCGGCAACAACTAGGATATTAGTTGTAGTTAATATGAAACTGATGACGCCGCCTAATAGAGCCGTAATCAGACCACTGCTGTGTTCTATAATATTTTATTCATTATGCGATCAGTAGGTCTATCTAACAACAAAGATTAAAGTGATCAGATCTGGTCACTAAAAGTTGTCCATAAACGGCGACCACATCATAATGGAGCAGCTCTCTGTCATCTTCTCCGGTTTGTCCCTTAGCTTTTCTTTTGCCAACGACGCAAGATCCTACTTTTCTACTTTGTCGCCGAAGATCATCAAAAGATAGATGATTGCGAAATGATAGTGTCATCTATATGTATAACAACATTACAACATCAAATTAAATAAGCAAAAAGCCAATGATTGTCTAAAGGGCAGTGGGGGAGGCAGGATTTGAAACTATCCCTATCCTCTTTCGTATTATAAATATAAAAATATTTAATTAATATAATTAAATTAATAATATCTAAAAATTATTTTCGCTTATAAAAAATATCTACTATTACAATCGGTATTTTCATAAACAACCATGATGAGTTTTCATATTCGGAAGAAACACACAATACATTCTTTGTCTACACACTTAAGTAAGTCATTTTCAATGGATCTCACTAAACAACCATTAGCAAACTGGTCATGAGTTCGACTTCAAAGTTCGTTCTTCAGATAGCTCAAAACTGAAAATATCTTATCGTCACTTGCCGTCAAAACTAGTGGAATCGGCGCTGCCACTGGACTGCTTCAAGATTGCTTGCAAATAATCGAATAGGCATATAAAGAAAAGAGATCTATTCCAATAGAGACTTCGTTTATTGTATAACAATTAATTCATTGTCAATTTATGATAAATAATGAGTTGTGATATAGTAACGAAGTACAATGGTGTTGTGTTCCATCCTTCGTATAGACATATATGAAGTATTTTTGTTCCTCTCAAAATTTACCCCTGTCCCGGGACAATGCCCAATAGGGCTACCTCCGCCACTGCTAAAGGGTGCCTTTAGTAGTCGGCCGATGATTAAGCTTGAAGCGCCCGGTCCTACAACCTATTTGATGAAGTAGTAAGATATGCAGATTAAATCGAGATTTGACCTCAATATTGTTAGTGAGTGGTATAAGATTCATTATTGAACCTCTTCCAACAATTCGAGTTATTGGGAGAAACTGGTTCTTAACATGGTATCAGAGCCTGTTGTGGCCGGGGCCCGGGAGATCTTGTGTTCGAATCTCGGTGACCCCATTTGTGAAGCACATGTATTCATGTTCAGGACATGTGCAAACGAAAGCCCTTATGGGCTGACTGGCTTTCGTTTGAGGGGGTGTGTTAGTGAGTGGTATAAGATCCATTATTGAACCTCTTCCAACAACTCGAATTATTGGGAGCACGAATATAAATCTTACTAGTGTTCATGCAGATGGACTCAGACCAGAACAACACTCCGTCACTAACATTTCCCTATGTACAAATATTCTGAAGTGACTATGCACATAGATGATTTTTTTTCTATGAAATTGTTGTAGATGATTGTTGACTATGCATACAGGCTGTATTTTGGCTGGTGGTGCCAAGATTGATCAGAGATGAGCAGATCAAGCTGATAATGACAATAATGCTCCTCATCTTCCTGTTCCAATTCCTGCCCAAAGTATACCACAGCCTCACCCTGATGAGGAGAATGCAGAAGGTCACCGGCTACATCTTCGGCACCATCTGGTGGGGTTTCGGCCTCAACCTCATCGCCTACTTCATCGCCTCCCACGTCGCCGGCGGGTGCTGGTATGTCCTCGCCATCCAGCGCGCCGCCTCCTGCATAAAGCAGCAGTGCAACTTGTCCTCCAACTGCGACCTCTCCCTGTCTTGCTCCGAAGAGCTCTGTTTCCGCCTTGTCTTGCCCGATGCATTGGCGGCCGGAAGCGGCTCTTGCGGTGGTTACAATAACTCGAGTAGTACTAATAGGACTCCAATGTGCTTGGACATGGATGGCAGTTTCAAGTATGGGATCTATAAGTGGGCTCTCCCTGTCATTTCCAGTGATTCCTTGGCTGTCAAGATTCTTTACCCCATTTTCTGGGGCTTAATGACCCTCAGGTAATTAAGATTGATTACCTAGCTACTCATGATTGTGTGTCCATTTTAATTATGTACGACATTATTGGCAATGACGGGACTGATTTGAACTGTAGTAATCGGGAAGAGGGGTAACTACTAACTAGACATTACTGATTACTCTGTATCCTCAATTTGTTGTTACGAATTTTACATCTAATTTAACCTTGATGGGGGCTATAGCTCCTCCTGACTTCAACCTAGCTATGCCGCGTTTTGAGATTAGTTTGATTGACTATATATGGGGGTTTTGTGTGCATGGATGCAGCACCTTTGGGAATGATCTTGAGCCAACCAGTAACTGGTTGGAAGTGATGTTCAGCATATGCCTAGTACTTAGTGGGTTGATGCTCTTCACTTTGTTGATTGGTAACATTCAGGTGTGTGAGTTTTAACAAACATGAATGGATTTCCCAATTGATATTGTTGTGAGTATCGAAATTTCTGAGTGTGTATGGGGATGTTTGCAGGTGTTCTTGCACGCGGTGATGGCGACGAAGAGAAAGATGCAGCTGAGGTGCAGAGACATGGAGTGGTGGATGAGAAGAAGGCAGCTGCCTTCCCGCTTGAGGCAGAGAGTTCGGCACTACGAGCGCCAGAGGTGGACGACCATGGGAGGTGAGGATGAGATGGAAATGATCAAAGACTTGCCCGAAGGGCTACGGCGGGACATCAAACGATACCTCTGCCTCGACCTCATCAAGAAGGTAATAGATTAAATTGAGTCCGGTGAAATCAGTCAATTGAGGATCTAGTTTAGTTCGTTTGATTTGGCATCATGAGTACTAATGAAATTACTTTGATTGATTGTTTTTGAGGTGTGATTCAGGTGCCGTTGTTTCATAACTTGGACGATTTGATTCTTGACAACATATGTGACAGGGTCAAGCCTATCGTGTTCTCCAAGGACGAGAAGGTAATCCGTTTAACGTTTTCGTCTAATATTTCCATCTGGCTGTACTTAATTTCGTGTATCTGTAAATTGAGGTTATGTTATTTTGTGAAACCAGATAATTAGAGAAGGTGATCCGGTACCAAGAATGGTGTTCTTAGTCCGGGGAAAGATAAAAAGCTCGCAGAAGCTAAGCAAGGGAGTTGTAGCAACTAACATGCTCGAAGCTGGAGGCTTCCTTGGCGACGAACTTTTGTCATGGTGCCTACGCCGGCCATTCAACGAACGGCTTCCGGCTTCGTCGGCGACGTTTGTGTGTCTGGAAGCCGCGGAGGCATTTGCTCTCGACGCCAACCACTTGAAGTACATTACCGATCATTTCCGGTACAAGTTTGCGAACGAGAGGCTGAAGAGGACGGCGAGGTATTACTCTTCGAATTGGAGGACGTGGGCGGCCGTGAACATTCAGTTTGCATGGCGGCGGTACAGGCGGAGGACCAAAGGTGGCGGTGGTGCTGGTCCGATGAACCCTGTGGTGGAGAGTGGTGGGGATGTGGAAAATAAGTTGTTAAGGTATGCCGCCATGTTCATGTCGATCAGACCACATGACCACCTTGAATGAATGAAATCAGATAAATGGGTGAATTAGAGTGCTATGTTTTTGGTAGACACTTGTTATTTCTTTTCTTTCTTGTCTTTATTCATTTGTTGTCATTTGTCTTCAGATTATGAACAAAGCATATCCTCCAGTATGTTCATGTTATATGATCATGTTGGAGGGTATTCTCATTGATAGCTCCATGAATAAAGAAGATAAATTAGTTAGTTCTTTTTGGAGTAGGGTTCTTGATGCCATAACAGGCAAACACTTAAATGTAATGTAATGGTAGGCAAACTTCTACAAGAGGCCTCAATAAACTTATGTGCAATGGGATTGAGGGACTTGGAACATCTTTAGTTACAAAAGTGAAGGAGAAAATCCTGATTTTGAAGCATTCAATAGAAGTTTACCCTGAACGAATTGTCCTTCCTTCCTAGTTCCTATCAATCAATCAACATGTCCCCTGCGGTGGTTTGCATGGATGCTTTGCTGCTCTGCATGCTGAAGTCGTCGCTACTATGCCGCTTAAGGTGTTGAGATCTGATGAACTCTTCGATTCTTGCCTTCAATTCCACGTCCGGTATCAGCATATCAGATGTAAGATGCGAACGGTTGAAGGGGTCCGTCTGCATTTACAACCCGAATACCAAGAAGCCCCGAATCAGGAAATGATCCGACTATCTTGTATGAACTTAATTCAGAGGAATTATATGGGGAAGGAAGTAGAAGACTTACGCTGTCACTAAGGAGATGCCTTTGGATGACAGGCCTGTCCACAGTAATTCTTGAAGAAGGTAGTATTACTGGGTCTTTCATCAGAGTGTACTGCGAAAGGGATGAAAATTTTCAGCAATAAAATTCCTGCACTAAGCCCTCCTACAGATTATGATACGTTTTAACCTAAAATTACCTGGATGGGGTCAAGGAACTCGTCCGGTACCTCCCCAAGAGCAGCTTCACTGTCCATTTCCTCGATGGCAGCAACTTTTGCTTTTGCACCAAGTTCAACAAACTCATGTATGATTCTCCCATCTTCACCAATTCTTCGAAGAACATCAGCAGCAGCACTAAATAACTGCAGCAGTAAATATAACCTCAGTCCTCAGATAGTTCCTTCACCCATCAATAGAACAAAATAAAGCAACTCAATTTTGTCGTTCCCATTGAAAAGGAACTGCATACATGCCCTATTTTACCTGTTCATTGTATGACCTTCCATCCTTTGAAATGGCAGTTGGGAATATGTTTTCTTTATCACCTCTGGCTAGGTGAACGTATATTTGGACAATCTTTCAAACAAGAAAACCACGAATGTAAGACCATTATCAGATTACAATATGCAATATTCACAAATTCCATATTTAAGCTAACCTGCTTCAGGAGCTGTTTTGGACGAAATTCATACTTCTCAGGGTCTTTCAGAGTAAGAGATTTTCTCTGAGGACCCACAAGTTGTAATAAAAAGTAATTCAGCATGCTGGCCACTCGTTCCACCTGCAAATAGTGCACGTTAAGAATAAGATCTTACGGGACAAGAAAAAATAATCTAATCCCACTAATTCGAGTTGCTAGGAAACCCTACTGATTTACAAGTTTGCAAAATCCATGGTAACTCACAACTAAGTGACTAACTAATACTATTAAGGATGACAAGGATTTCAAATATGAGAACTTTCAAACATAGACACTCTGGCGTCATGCAAGAGAATCATGTTATTTCAATATATAAAAAGGAGTTGGAAAAGGTCTGTAACTGGATTTTGCAGAATATTAAATCTAGTTCTGAACTACAAGTAACATTCGAGTTACAAGTTGTAAGAGATAATGAAGTTGATACAAATAGGAACTTACCATCTCAGGGAGTAAGAAAGGTACTGTTATCTGCTCAGATGTGAAGGCCAGCATACTCACATCCTCGTTTGCCAGCTTCATATCAATCCGGATGATCTGCACAAAGATAGAGCTATCCGTCTGAGAAAAAACTCACTCATATATGTGATGATTTTAAGTCAGAAAGACACCGACGTTCTCTTGGGAGTGAAATAGCCGGGTTCTTTCCTGCCTCTCCTGAGCTGGCCTCCGTTCCCATTCCACCGTGTTCGACATTTCAGCTTCCAGTTCTTTCAGTTCAAGAATCTTGTTCAGACTTTCATCCAAAAGATATATACTATCGTTGATCAAGAAGTTCAAGAAATTCAAGTAAACTCCCTTTTCCTCTTCCTTTGCTATCTGCAAATGGTGACACAAATTCGAGTTTGACACTTCAAATAATCAAATGATATCGAAAACTAAATGGTCTATACTCGGAATTCTACCTGTCTCCAGGCATTACGATGACTAGGGACCTGCCACAGATACTCTAGGAGCTCAGCAATATTATGTCTGATATTGAACTTGTCATAGAACTGCAGAAGCCAAAACACGGGAAGAGCCATCATTAACGAGTCACATAGCACATACAAACAAACAGAACAAAGAAGCTAAAATACCAGCTATAATTTCACATCATGCACCAGTACACAAAGTACTACCACATCTATTCTAGTTCATGAATGCAATAAGTGCTTGCTTCCAACAATAAACAAGGACACTGAAAAACAAATCCATTTAGCACATACAAAACTAGAAAACACATGTCTAATATAAAAACAAACAATCATTAACTGCTTAAAACACGAATGAAAATTTTCACATTCAGAAGTGGTTTTCAGACATAACCTGAGTGTGCGAACCAGTGAATTCAATGTCAACATAAAGCTTCAATAGATTCCTCACGAGATACTTGAGAGCTAATTGGTGTCCCTCAAACAGACTAGTTGTAGCAGATGAACCACTGCAGATACAACAGCACAAGTTATTTACTATAATTCACATTTAAGAGGAGAAACCGACATCTAAAACGCCAATAATCACCTCCCACGGGGCATCCAGCAGTTCAACACTTCAACCATCTTTGCTCTGAGATAAGGGTTCCTAATGTGTGTTGGACTTCCCATAAACATGATTATGAAGTTCATAAAATCATCCTGCCAGCAATCCCAATGAAGGAAAGAGATGAGAACAGTTACGGATGCAATATTTTATTCAACAAGGAGAGCAAACATCATAAAAAAGCCTTTGTGAAGTCAAGTATACCAGAATGACTCCATCTAAAGCTTTTGGGACCCGAGAAGCAAATATAAGTAACTCCATCGCATCTTCCGCAAAATGCTCAGGCATCGATGAAAATTCCATGGGGCAAGTAGATGAAAGAGGCATTTTAAATCCACCAACCAGGCTGACCAACCAAACCACCATCAATCGGTAGAACGAGAGCCCTTGCTTAATAAGAGTAGGGTCCTTCAAACAATAGCTTAGGCTTAGGAGCGTGAGGATAATAATAAATCCAGCAAAGTTCCAGCTAGAATATGCAATCTACAAGGTGTTACGAGAGAGAAACACTAGCCTGGGACTAGATATGAAAGGAATGAAGACTGGAAAGACGATAATGGATAAAAGCAATGAATCTGACGACAAATGATGAGAACCTTATCTAAATTATTCTAAAGCCCAATGAAAAGATTGAGACTTTAGCTTTACCATTTGGGAATTCATCATGCTCAACAACTGATCAAATGCCCATACATCTAAACCGGCAGTTGGATAGAGAGAGAAAAGAGCAGAAGCAACAACAGAAAAGACCATGTACCCTCAGTAATTGTGCCTCATAGCAAAGTTTTTCCTGAGAATATAATTCTAATTCCTTCTCGAGGCGAGCAATATCCATTTGCATTTGCGGTGAAGGTGACTGTTCTTGCAATGCTTTTAATGTCGATAGAGTGTCCTCAGATCTTGAAATGTCCTTGAATGGCCAAGAAAAGTGTAATAATCAATCAATAAGCTACATTACTTTGAGCAGTCTTGTGGAAATTATAAGGATTATCAAAAGAAGATTGTATTACCTGAACCAAGTGCTTAAAGTCAGAAAATGCTTTTAGCATGCCCAAGTTGAGCACCCTTGCCGTCATAAAGAAGCATTCACTTATAAATGCGTATGAAGCCTTATCACCACTTGATGCAGGCTTGGCACCAGAACTACTGGCTCCCTGTGATTGGACTACACGGTTTTCTATATCACCAGATCCAGAATTTATATCAGCTTTCCCAGAACTATCATTTTTAATCCACTCTGCAACTTCTTCTGATGATGCATGTAAGGCTGTTAACCCTCTGATTAAGACGGTACCAAGCATAAAAACAATGGAAATTAGAGATATGAGACTAACTAGTAGCAAAATCTGCTAACAATAAAGAAGTGCAAAGGATCCAACCTTAAGTCCAATCGGTTACAGTAGAACACATATCCTGGATCAATTTTATCAATCTTTGAGCAATGTGGATCTAAAAAGGGTTCACAGAGTCGAAGCATAACAGCGCTGAGACTGACAAACATGCCCGAGCTTGCACAAGATATGGGATCAACCTGAACAAAATAGATAACATCAAGTATGATGATACAAAAGCCATAGTATGGCAGCTTCATGCTGACATATGTCAAAAAAGATGTTAACTTCATCCCTTTCCCGGACAGAAAAAACCACAACGAGAAACCCTCACTTAGTTTATATATGATGTAATGACCAGGAGATTCTTGAATGATCATTTCGGCCCACCGCCTACCTGGATATGTGCTCTGGAGGCATTTCTGTTGATCACCTCTGCGAGATACTGCAAGACATGCTCACGAATGTCGGCATGCTTCAGTAGAGTAAGAAGAACTTCGGAGAGACCCTCATATAAGTTATTCATAACTGTCTTGATAGTAGTAAATGAAGACAATAAGTCAGCAGGCCTACGAGTTGATGCTTCCGAGAAGCAATGCTGTCTGTAGAAAATTTCAGGTGACTTATCAATAAAACCAGACACGGCGAAGCATGCTGAACAAACAACCAAATTCCACTAGTTTCTTACTCACCCAACATCAGGCTCGCTCTTGAATATGGTATGATCAGGCAATGCACTAACATGGAAAAAGGGTCCAAGAATACTGGTCATTTCAATCACTCTTCCATTC